CAAAGCTCCTAAATCAAGTATACTTATTACGAGGTCTAAAGCCTTTATAAAGCTTATGTTATTTCTTTGAAACTTAGTAGCATATTTTATTTATTAGAATTCGAAACAGCATCACAGTCAAACTCGCTAGATTATCTAAAAGGCATTGCATGCCTGGCTAGTGGTATTACATTATCCTTATTTGTAATATAGAATACAGAAGAAATATAAATAAAACAATTAAATCGGTATTATTTAAAAATTAACGATGAAAATTTTTTCGTATTCATCTGTATAAAATAAAGCTGAAATAAAAAAGAAAAAAAAGAAACTTTTCTGATAGCCTAACTATTTAATTTTTATCAAATAGTTCACAAAAAATATGATGTTAGGTGTACATAAAATATATACAGTACCCAAGCGGAAAAGCGAAACTCCGGGGCTTTTGGGTCTCGCTTCCCCCCCTCCCCCCGCTTGACAGTACCCGTTTTTTGCTAATCAAGTCGAATTTTTTAATATTATAGCATGCCGAAGTGATTTTGTTGATAAGAGAGAATATTCATTAATATAACTGGTTCTTATATTAGGTAGTTATTAATTTACCTGTCAGAGAAAAAACACTTTATTCTTTATTTTATCTTTATTTTCCAAAATAAAGATTGCATCTATATTTATTTCTTAAAGTAGAAATAAAGCAAGTGTACTGTGTCTGACAATAGCAACACTATCAAGACTCAAAAGTAGATCTAAATTCAGAGTCTTCTAATAAAGGATGACCTGTAATGCTTTAGGAATGTTATATTGAATTCAACTGTTTTCTAACTGAGTCGATTAAAATGGAATTTTCTGATTAAAAAGTCTTTCTTGAATTGATTTTCTTAATTTATGCTTTTCTTCACGTTCATGAAACAATTGAGCAAGAAAATAATATCATATCGAGACTTTTGAACATTTGCACTAGAAAAAAAAGACTCGAGTACAGTGCTAATTAATTTTAATTGAGAAATAAGGTCTGATTCATTAAAAATTGTTTTTAAAAGGTCAATTTCATTCTGGCAAAATAAATTGAACATAATATAATTAAATAAAAATTGAATTAAAATGTTTCCATTTTAACCGATTTTATAATTAGAAAAATTCAATTTCCATTAGATTTTCATTCACTTTTTTTCTTGCCATCAGGGAAAACTTTTTGCCCTGCCGTGCCCTGTGACGATCTCTGGTACGTATCACTTTCTTTAAGTTGATCGCACATTTGAAATCGAGGTTTGTCAGAGATCAATTGAGATTAACATCAAAATAATTCAATTTTTCTCAAAATTTGGTCACTTGATACAAACGAATATAATCATTCAGAACATTTTATCATCAAATAATAATCTTTCCTCTTCAGTTCTTCACAGCAAAAGAAAAAAAAACCAGACGAACTCATCTGTGTAAATTAACAAGGTGTCATGCTGAACCTTTGAGAATTCCGTATTTGGGAAGCATTTTTTAAACAAATAAAGGTTCTTGCATAATGTAACTCTGTTTTGAACCTGCATTTGGTCTCCGAAAATTGCTTTTACTCAGAGAAAAAGCACCTATTTATTGTCCACTCAAGAAAAGATTATTGCTGAATATTCTCAAAGAGTTTCTGATTTTGTTACTATCTAACGCTCATTAGAAGATTGAAGGTGTGCGTGTTGGTATAGTCCGAGTTTTCTGATGACCAGCACCTATACCCCAAAAATAGCACTTCTTTTTTGTGCATCGACTGAAATACATTCCACAAACTTCTTAAATATTTATTCACAATGTACGTTGGCAATCATTTTTACTATTAAAATAGTTTCATTACGCTTTACTTTTATATAGGAAGTACAATTTAAAATGCACTCCGTAGAAATCAACTGAAAAAGCACTACGCTAGAAGGAACCAATATTCTAGTATTTTTCAGATTTTTCTTTGCACCCTATCTGATACTGTTGTTACCCAGGTCAAACAATCAAACTTTAAAATCTTACACGATACCTACAAGATCACATCGGATCTTCCTGTATGATCTCATACGAGTGTATAAGATGATACAAAACTCATACAAAACCGTGTACGATCTTGTAATATATGATCTTGCAGGAAACTGTAAAAGTGGTTCGAATCTACTGTAGTGCGCAGTGAATTTTGTTTTCAGTTAAATATAATTATGATAGTTGAAAAAAGAATTTTCATTAAATTATTCAAATTCTGAGCCCTCTACCGTGGCAGATGATGAGATCTCTTCGGCCTCTAGTTGGCCCGATCCTCTTCAGATCTATTCGGATAGTTCTATCAGCTATTGACAGAGATCGACATACGTTTCATTAAAAAGCTAATGAAGAAATAATCGCAAAAAATATAATATGAAAATATGTAAAGTTGTGTTCGACAAAATAGCTTATATTTATCTTAGCGTGGAAAATAAAGTGGTGAATAGACTGGTCAATAATCTTATTGGATCATACTAAATATTGATCTTCAGATGATGTAAGAATCTTACAGTAAGATATTTTTATGATTTCATCTGATTGTTGGCATGATCCTATAAGCTCTTGTATGATTTTTCGAACGATTTTTCACCTGGGTATCCATCATTAAAATTTAATCTTACCGCAGCTGATACAAAAAGAATATGGCATTGTTTAAAGATCGGTTTCGTCTGCCATAATGTTTGTAGAAAGATTCTTAAGGACTATATTTTGGTATTTTTTTTACTCAAAAACAAAGTATGAGAAAACGCTTTAGGTATACATTTAGAAAGGTCTTTCAACATACATTCTCAATAGATATTTTTGATTTTTCAGAAGCCTGTGATAATTGATGAATACTAAGCCAATATTATTCAGAGAATATTTGCGTCACGTCTCAGTCTTTTACTAGCTGGTGACGAAATATATTTTTACAACTTTATCTTTTACAGTTGTGAAAAAAACTGATTCTTTTAGACGACGAGAGTGAAGACATTGTCTTTGACAACTTTGTAATCAGATGAATGTGATGCCTCATCTTCGTATTTCTCCTCTGTTTAAGCTTCTGTGGAAACGGTTCCAATTTGTTCTCTTTCTCTAGAGCAACATACACTGAAAAAAAAGGGTACCATACGGAATTTAAAAAAGGTTCAGAGGTTTGCAATGAAATCGAAACCTTATTTGAGTTTCGTAAAAATATGGTTCCGTACCAAACGGTCTTTAATTTACACTCAAAATGGTTTCGTAGTTGTAATTCTGCCACGATTCCAATGCAATCGATCAGCGCTTGCAGAATTGGTACCGATAAATTGATCCATTTCGCTATCCCTTTATTCTATTTCATGTAGCGCCTTATAAGTAGCCTCTGGCAGATTCATACAATCGATATCTATCTTATTTACATATCCGTTTATACATATCTATACCTAACTTATCCCCTTAACCTTAACATATCCCCTAGTTTAACCCCTTAATCTTAATCTATTGGCTTATCTATATGGCTTGTATTTAATTGTTCAGTATTTTATTATCAATGTTCAGTAAATTTTTATCATATGTTCAGTAGTTTTTGTTCAGTAAAAAGTTATTTTTGCTCAGTATATAATTCAAGAAGTTCAGTAATTAATTTTAAAAGATTCAGTATTTTATTTATTTTTGTTCAGTATCTAATTTATAAAAGTGATTACTGATAAAAATACTACTTTTTACTGAGTAAATGTATTTTTGAAACAGCAAACTGAATTAATTACTGAAACTTTAATTTTGCCACTGAGCAAACAATTAATTAATTGAACAAATGTAATAGTTACTGAACTAGGGTGTGGGTGTGTGGGTGTGGATGTCAGTGTGAGTTCCTATTAGCAACATCCACACTCACACCCACACCCACACCCTCTTCTCCCGTCTTGTGTATAATTTATATAGTGTGTTTTGATCAGATATTTCCAATGCATTCTTAAGCTTCATCAGCATTATCAAATGTGACTTCTTTAACACAACAGTTAGATCTCTGGTTCTTGTTATTCTTTGATTTCGATTTAAAACACTATTATCTTCCAACCCATCATCTGAAAAATCATTTTCATATGATGCTACTTGTACAGCTTCCACAGGTTTTCTTTTGTTTACACTTCACTGAGAATAAGGGAGTGGGTAGGAACAAAGAGAATATATACCCGGGGAAGTCAAAAGCTTGACTTGGCATTTGACCTCTTTTTATACATGAAAATGACTTATTGGGAAAAGCAATTATGCCACTCGATAGCTCTTGGAATTCTCTATCAAACTATGTATTTTGATTGTACCTTGCTTTTATCTTCTGAAAACTTATTCCAGTGGAATGAAGGCACCCTCATAGTCAGATTCCCAAACAGTCAATTTTCTTATTGCCTTCGCATTTAGTATTTTGGATGGATAGTCCGTTAGATAATGAGTTTCGGAAAAAGTAAGTATATATATTCTGATAGCACTGAAAATTCTCTATCACCCTATATATTTGCTTATTCTCTTGCATGTATGACTTGGAAAAAAATTGATTGTAATAAAGAAATTCCCGATTGACAAGAACTAAAATTCGACAACTTTTTAATATTCTCGAATTATTATCACTATATGAATAGGCGCTTATATCAGTAATTATACGATCCGATAGAGCTTGAAATTCTCTATCATCCTGTATAATTTGTTGCTTTTTTCCGTTAATTTCCAAAAGAATAATTGGAGTATTACATCGAAATCATCTGCGGCATCCTAAACAACCAGGATTACTTTAACTATCTCTTTTCATTTTAGTTCAAGAGTTCAAGATGGTGCAGTATTTCAAAATGTATCGGATCGTATAGTTACTGATATAAGCGCCTATTCATATAGTAGTAACGGGTGCGGCAGGATAAATGGCGGTCTAGTGTTTTCGCGACATCTTCCTTATTTTCCATCCAATTCGTCCCTTTTTTTCTTGAAATGTGCGCCGTCTATCGCTCTACAAATCCCCATATTTCATTTAAATATCCAAAGTAAATACAGGTTTTCCGAAGATGAAAAGTAAAGACCTTCAAAAGGTGGTACTTTCAAAGTACCAAAAAGGTGATACTCCGAAACAAATTTATCATGATTTAAACGGTGGACTCGGTTTAAGAACAATCGAAAGGTGGTGTCAAATGATCCGGAGGTCGGGAACTATCACATTATCAAAACCACCAGGTGGCCCTCGTTTGGTTCGAACAAGGGAGAACATTCAAAAGGTAAAGAACCGGTTACGCCGAAAGAAAAAGGTGTCAGCTCGAAAAATATCAATGGAGCTTGACATGTCCGAAAGAAGTGTTCGGCGAATAATGAAAAACGATTTAGGGTTATATCCCTATAAAAAAGTAATCGAACCATTGCTTTCCGATGATCAAAAGCTCAAACGGAAACAATTTGCAAATTGGGTTCGAACAAATTTCCGAAAAGAAGACACTTTGAAAATCCTCTTTTCGGATGAAAAGATGTTCGACATTGACGGTGTTTATAATACCCAAAATGATCGAGTGTGGGCAGTAGATCGTGCTGATGCCGATAAAAATGGTGGCACTCAGCAGAAACGAAAATTCCCACAAAAAGTAATGGTTTGGCTCGGTGCCTGTTCCAAGGGTCTCACACCCTTGGTAATCTTGGATGAAGGAACAGTCGATCACACTGTTTATATCGAAAAAGTGCTTCCTATTGCTTTAAAATATGGGAATCAATTTTTCGGCAGCGACTGGGTCTTTCAACAAGATGGCGCCAAGCCTCACTCGCATCATTTATTACAAAAATGGTGTCGAGACAATTTTCCAACATTTATTGAGAAAGACAGATGGCCACCAAATAGTCCAGATTTAAACCCACTGGACTACTCAATATGGGATCAGCTGGCCAACAACATCAATTGGAACAAAGTCTACTCAAAAACAACACTCATTAAGGAATTAAAATTGTCGATTAAAAAAATTTCTGAATCTGTTGTTTTTGAAGGTTGTGCGTGTTGGACCAATCGATTGTATCGTCTTTACCAAAATGATGGAAGTTATTTGCGTTAATAAAAATAGTATTGTTTTGTAGAACTTTGAAAGACGATTCTTTTGAAAAAAACGGGAGCCAACTCGGACTAAGATTAAGGGAGATATCGGCGAAATACTGAGACCGCCATTTATCCTGCCGCACCCGTTAATAATTCGAGAATATTAAAAAGTTGTCGAATTTAAGTTCTTGTCAATCGGGAATTTCTTTATCACAATCAATTTGTTTTTAGGTCCTACGTGCAGGAGAATAGACAAATACACAATTTCATAGAGAATTCCACGTGCTATCAGAATATATACTTGCTCCAAAAAAGTTATTTTCATGTGTCAAAAGAGGTCAAATACGAAGTTAAGCTTTTGCTTGCCAGGGGTATATGTAAGTACTTGTTACATGTAAGACGCAGTACAAGACGAGCGAAAAACAAAATAAACTGAGTGACACTACAAGACTTTTCTTTAATTTAATCTACTGTTAATTAATCCTATTTACTGATCACTTGAATCATAGCCGTTTTTCTCTTCTTGATACACGTCATACCAATATGGTCTATTCCTCGTAATATCGTGCATACTTTGCTAATGAAACACGATCTTATGGCCACGGAAGCCTATATTTTTCCATGCTTTCATCAATACTACATCTGTGTAATAAGCTTGATAAGAAATTTGAAAATAACTCCAAAAACGCAATTCATTGTAACGTGAATGATCTTCTACTCTCAAGATAATCTCTAAAACATCAAGTTTAGCCATTCAATGTAAGAATACCATGAAAATCCTTCGTTCTTTCAAGACACCTTGAATTCATGTGGCTTTCTACATGAATTGTTCAAGATCTCTTCTCAGCAAAAATATTGTAACTGAAAACATCAACAAATCCTTACCGAACGATTCTCTCATCAGATTCTGAAGAGCTTTCTCATATTTATATCCATGCAAGGAGAAACCCTTTCGAGCACCTTATCAAAAGATCTTATTTTCAGGGTATTCCACTCTCTCTCTCACGTAGGAGAGAGAGGATGAAAACCTCTTTTCATTGTTTGTTTCTTGTAGTCATTCCCAATATTCCTGCCAATGCCAACTGGGTACAGAATGGCGTGACTGTTGCTGGAGGTCACGGACAAGGCAGTGCCGCCGATCAACTCAGCAGCCCTTGGGATCTCTTCGTTGATGATGATCAAACAGTGGTCATCGCTGACCAAGGGAATCATCGTATCATCCAATGGAAGATGGGTGATACGAATGGACAAGTCGTTGCTGGCGGCAAAGGCGCAGGAAGTCGATTGGATCAATTGAATCATCCAACCGATGTGTTGATCGACAAAGAGACGGATAGTCTCATTATTTGTGATCATGGAAATCAACGAGTCGTACGATGGTCTCGTCGTAGTGGCACAACTCAAGGAGACATCCTCCTTGAGTACATCAGTTGTGTCGGATTAGCCATGGACGATCAGAGATATCTCTATGTCTCTGACGACGACAAATATGAAGTAACACGATATCAACTGGGCGACAAGACTGGAACACTCGTAGCTGGTGGCAATGGCACAGGTGCTGGTCTCAATCAACTCAACAAGCCGACCAATCTCTTTGTCGATCGGCAACAGACGGTGTACGTGTCAGACTTCAACAATCATCGTGTAATGAAATGGACTAAAGGTGCAAAAGAAGGCATTGTTGTCGCTGGAGGTCAAGGCAAATGGAATGCTCTGACACGATTGTATTGGCCTAACGGACTGTTCATCGATACGTTGGGCACACTCTATGTGGCAGAGCAGGGCACTCATCGAGTGATACGTTGGCCTCAAGGAGCGAAAGAAGGCACTGTGATTGTGGGTGGAACTGATGCAGGAGTAGGAGCAAATCAGCTCAGCTGTCCCCACGGTTTGTCTTCCGATCGACATGGCAATCTCTATGTCGCCGATTATAGCAATTATCGTGTTCAACGATTTTCTATCGAATAAGACTTGTGAACGGTTTTTTCTTTGTTTGTTTCTTTTTCTATACTTTGAAATAAATGAACAAAAAAAAGAAATTTTCTTTTACTCTTTCGCTTCAAAGAAAAGAAAAAAGCTAAAATATAAGATTACGTCATATGTTTCTTTTCTTCTGCTTCTTTTATTTATTTATTAAATGAAAAGAAACGAATTAAATAAAAGAATTTGTTTTTTTCGCAAAATATTTATTACTGACATGAAAATTAATTTGTTACTTTGAAAATATTTTATTCCTGAAATGAAAATTTGAATTATTTAAATGAAAAAAAAACTGTATTATTTTTACAAATTTTAGGTGTAAAACAAAAAGAATTTATTAGTAAAATAAAATTATTTACTGATAAAGGAAAATTATTTATTACTGAAATAAGAAAAAAATTGTGAGCTATTTTAAATTATTTATTTCAAAACTAAAAGAAAACAAAAGTTACAAAAAAGTGAAAAAATTGCACTGTAATTATTTTGGTTTTTATTGTATTGTTTGGAACTAAAATATAAAAATAGCAATTAATTTTATTTGTTGAAATAATGCAATTACTTTATTGTTGGGTTGTTTCGTTTGAAGTTGAACTAAAAGAATAGAAAGAATGATGATTAGAATCAAGGGGGAAAGCTGATTGCAATCAAAGCAATCATTGGCAATCATTGGCAATCTTTGATAATCAATAGCAACCATTAGCAATGACTTGGAATAGATTGCTTTTAATCCAAGACAATGAAATTGGTTGTCATTTAAATAGTTATCAGTATAGAAAGTATTGTATAATCATAATAAAGATCATCTGATATAATATACATATATCCCGGTCAATCGCGATGAATAATAGACAGTCGATAAATAATCTAAATCGATATTTTTCTTTTCTCTGTTTCTCGTGTGTTCATGTATTCATGTGCTAATGTGACACAAGAATTCAAAACGAAAACTATAAACATCTATTTCTCTTTTTGTTTTCGTTTCATTTCCATCTTTTCACACAAACTCACCCACATACTGCTCGTTTTATTAATTCCGCTATTTTGAATATGTCCTACCCCGAAATATTCACAAATTGATACAAAAATACTACCGTCGAATATCATGAATCTTTGTGATGATGCGTTTTACGGTTTAATTCGTCAAATTTCTGGAAAATGAGTCACAGAATTGCTTGCTTTTTAAGAATGCAATGGAGTTGACTCATTTCTTGGATGTAAAGATGTTACTGCCCAGTGAAAAATTGTCAAATTATATGAGATTCTACGAGATTATCATCGGATTTTTGTGCAATAAAATCAAAATTATAATCGATTTAAAAGATTATTTTTCATTAAAAATCAAATTATCTTTGATTTAGAAGATTTCAATCAATTATAATTTTTATTTTGTTGCGCAAAAATCCGATGATAATCTCATAGAATCTCATAATAAACTATTTTTCACTGGGTGCTATAGTACAACTTAAATCCGATTAATTAAATGATCTAAAAAACCATTCGTGCATTACGTTAACCGATGAACCATTGCACTTTTACTAGGACTTGAATCATCGGCTCATAATCTCATTAAACTACTCAAAAAGGAACGAGAAAAATTAACAAGCAAGTTCAACGATTTTCATCAATCATTTATTCAGTTCTACCAGCTTTAACCGCCATCTTATCTGTTCTACCAACAGCAAATGTATTGAGGGTGTTTGTGTGGGTATGGGTGTGGTTGTTGGTGTGATCTTCACTTGGTACACATTAAGATCACGTCGACACCCACACCCAAGCTTTCAAATGATAAGTTTACTTCGTCTTCAGATCGTTTAAAGCGCATTATGAACAAATGATAAAATCTACTTACATTCCAGCTCTATATTTGAATCTCATCTTTTCTTTTCGATGCTTTAAACAGTCTTTTGAAGGATAATTTTAGGTAACACCAGAAATATTAATTTGCTTTTATATTTCCTGCTAAGAACGTGACAGTAATTTATGTAGTTTTCTTCATGTATATACTCTGTTTTTCTATGAAAAATGACTAGTAAATTCGTCACATTCTCATGATGTTTCAAGATACAAACTTATATTGGCTAAAAAGGACTCGAACCGATGATTTTTCAATATCAAAGAAGAAAAATAATCATCAGCAATCATTGGCAATCATTGACAATCTTTGGGCAATCATTGGCAATCAAACCAATCTGAGTAATCAAAAATTCAGCTTTTCCCCCCTTGAATCGACTATAGGAAGGGTCATATGAAATAAAACGAGCTTGTTTGTATGCAAGCTTGCATGTTTGTGAGTATGTTTATCGTCATGTGTTGGGCGTGGGTGTGGGTGTAACTGTGGCAATGGGTCGACTTTCTATCGTTCACATCTACACCTGCATCCACACCCACACCCTGTGACAAGCATCGACTCAGATGCAACGACACTTTGTTGAATCGAATTCTGTCTCTAATCCATATGTCGCCAATTTACGGTCAAATTCTTTTTCTACAACAATCACCCATTTGACAATTTGTCACTCGGGATCTTTGATGGCAAACTCATCACGAGTTTCAGTATCATGAATCATGTAGCCTGTATCATATTCTTGTTGCCATTCTGTATAGTGAACAAAATCAATCTTTTCCTTGTTAAAATTTTTATGCGCTCTATCAATCTCATTACGCAAAACTTCGTAGACTTTGCCCATACGAACTTCAGCAATGATCCAGGCACCTCCTGCACTCCGGTGCTTTCCAATTGTTCCAGCCACAGATCATGCAAAATAAGCACCAGCACCGAGCCAACCTTTCGTACTTGGTCGAAAGTTGCTATGGGCTATCGATACAACTGCTTCGGGCGTTGTTGTATGGAAACCGATGTAGTGATGTTGTGTTTCTTTCTTCCTCCCGATAGAACAAGGACATTTTGAGTTGTCGATTCCCAACGGTTGGGATTGCCCGATGTCTCGCCATCAACGTTGTGGTTGATAATCATTCGAATGAAAAACGGCGATATGATCAAGAGTGGTAATTAAACACTCTTCATCGGTACATGGTTGATCGCCCAATGTTCTTGGATCACGATATTCACCGACCATATGATATGGCAAATAGCGTTCATGTTTATTCGATCGAAGATAGCAGCGCGTGTCACTCTGAGGCGTATAGTGCCACCAAACACAGTAATGATAGACATCCATGCAGAGTGTATTGAAGATGAATACGACTGAAATAGCACAAGCGACGGCAAGTGATGAACCGTTGTTTTGTGAAGATGCTGCCGAAGCATACAGAGCGATGGCAATGATACGGAGGATAAAACACAGAAGAAGATAGATAAAACGAACTTGATAGCGAAGCTTCGGTCTTGATTTGTAGCATGGACAATTGCAGTCAATAGTGATTAATCGATGCAGTCATTCACTTCCTAGGAAGCGTCGTAGCATACCTGATGTGCTGATAGCATCCTGACGACCTTTGCCTCGGTTGTAAACATTGACCGCAAAAATGCAAAGTTTCAATAGAACCACTAGAATAATTATAATCGTAAAAAGCCCCACTAGTGTAGGTCCAATTGAACTGATCCAGTCGAGGGTGAATGCAGCTCTCAATGAGCCCGTTATTTGAGCGGATGAGAAAAAGAATGCAATACGTACAATGCCAACGATGAATTCGAAGAAACCCGTTAGTGCTAGCAGATACGGCAAACTTTTGTATAGCAGTGCACAGTGACAACACATTATAATTCAATACGCTATAAACATATGAAAATATTGAAAATGTTTTTTTAAACGCGTTCGCGACTTCTTTTGTAAAAGATTGCTGCACTGTTTTTTACCTTCACATTCAGCAACCCATTGAATGTGAATCTGCGGGCGTTATAGGAAAGAAAAAAGAATTTCACATAAGTTGCAAAGGATTGAAAAATGTTGCAAAGCATCGAATGGATTCAATAGTATACATTAAACTTTGTATTCTCTCCCAGACAGATTAATGGATAACGAAAAACGTACCTAAAATGCAACGTGTAGGAACATGATGCAGCCGCACATCTTCACACATTTACATTTGTTAGAGTTTTCAAACGCGTAAAAACACATCCGAAACCGACGTGTAGGAATGCATATAAATGTGTGGGTGTGGGTGTGGCAGTATGGGTGTGAGTGGCGTCTTTTTTCGTACCCACACCCACCCGTCCTCTCTCTCTCTCAAGAACTGATTGGCATTATGCCAAAAATACTATCCAAAATCTTTTTGAATTCATTTTAAATAACATATACAATTTTTCAAGGGCCATCTTCGGAAGTTCTTTATAACTTTTCAAAGATTACTAAAAGATAGTAAGTACAATTTTTCGAGAGCTACTTACTATTAGTAACTCTAACTATCTATCATTTTTTCAGCAGTGATACTTACAGGTTTTTCAGCGTTGTCTGGAAATGGCATTTAAAGCATTTATGAGACACAATTTAATACGAATGTTGAAGTGTATGGACAGATTTGGATAGTATGTTTGGCATAATGCCAATCAGCTCTTTTGAAAGGAGCTGTTCAAAACAATCAGCTAATCAGAGTGAGGAAAGACCAAGGGAGAGTGATTGATCGATATCCTTCTCGTATTGCTTGAGATCGTCATATGAGCACGTCTTTTGTGAACAAAATCCTGTCGCATTTGCTCTCTGATAATGTCGTTATTAGGGACAAAAATTTGCTGGGCGTCACTATTACGGCCAGAAAATTTTCAGACGTGTCTAGACGTCTCCATCTCGAATTCTCAATCACAGTCAATGTCGATCTGTTCTCCCTGAACCGATGGATTCAGAGAGAGCTAGAGGCAGGCTTCAAAAATGCTAGCGAGACTTTGTGTGTATCTGCTTCGAGAAGTGTTCAAATCCAAGTTTTCCTCGAGAGATCGCTTGTTCCTGCTTATTTCAACAGAGCGTCGCTATTAAGAAACGTACCCCAGAAGCGATGGACTGACCCCTCCACCGGAGACCGCTCATATGTTCGACAAGGAACGTCAGAAAAAGGCCCGCGATATCGCATCTGAAAGAGAAGAGCCTGAAGATTAACCGAGCACAAAAATCCTTTCAATCCACCGTAGATTAGTCTCGCAATGACTCGAACAAAGTCAGTCACCCCTTTCGCGTCGTTATTATGGAATCTGACTCTACTGTAAATATCATTTGATAGGTATCAGACTATTTATTTACCGGTAACTGACCCAATATGCATTCTTGATAGAAAACAGATTCTTCCTTAATCTATCACTCTCAACACAATTGAACTCAAATTCGAGTCGAGTTCGAGCTTCATGGTATCGAGCTCAAACAGTTAGGGTTTACTTAATGTCTAGATTCGATCAAGCGACCTGATTTTCATCGATAATCCAAGTATGTTTATATTTTATATTTATAGAGGCATGCCTGTTGAGACCCTTTGTTAAATACAGTCAAAGCCCTCTATTGTGAACACCATTAATTCCAGAGGAAATCGTTCGGATTAACAGGGCGATCATACAGGAGGGGGTTAATGCAAATGTACGAATTTTAAAATTCGTGTAGAAGAAATAAGTTCTTCTTCGGTAATCAGCTTATTTTAATTACAATTATGTATTTCTCACCTCAATCCGTATTATTACAAAAACTGATTTCTGGAACCCTACGATTTCTTGATGATACTACAGGAGTAGATTGAAACAATCACAGATAGATTTCTGCTTTGAAACATTTGAGTCGAGCAAACTGTCAGTCAGTTTAGCTTGATTTCGTAATCGTGTGTGTACTCCGATTTTCGTATGAGAGTGTTGGACACGGCACTGAGGGATATCTGAATTCTGTCACTCAATTATCGATGAGAAAGTACTCTTCCTTTTTCTTTTATCAGCACCATCTTGTCTTCCAGAGAAAGTTCGTGACGAAATGCTGTTAGGATAGGAGATAAATGTATTGGATGATCTTCTTTCTTTCTTTTTTTCTTTGGTTCGTTCTTCTGCTTTTTATGAGTCATGATCTTTTTTTCCTTCGTTCGTTTTTTTCGTTTGGCTGGTCAGAGAAATAAAAAGCAAGAAAAGGGAAGTTGAGCGTGGCTACGAGAAATCTAACTGGTGCACTAGCCGATTTATTGTTGAAACATCATCACAATAAATATTCGGACCCGATCGTTCAGATTTATTCTTATTATCAAGCAAATTTCGTATGTCATATCCTCACTGTTATCAAACAAGAAGTACGACCAAGATTAATCAAACAATTAGTGAAATTTCATCGATTCCTTCTACACAAACAATGGCATCGTCGTATTCAGATCAACCAAGAACACCTACTCATATTTCACCACAACTCAACAACAATACAGAAGAAAACATAATGTTAAAATCTCATATTACACAACATAAAGAAGAATATGTGCCATTGAATGAACAGATCGACAATTCATTAATAATTCCGCTTATAAATCGCCTTTCAATGTCGCAATCAACATCATCTCCTGAAAAATCTCAATCATTAACAATTGAACAATCTCATGCAATTGGTCAATCGCCACCAATGCATTCTGCTCAAAAAACTTTGACGCCACATGATATGAAAAATATATTATGTCCACCACCACGAATTACAGATACTGAAGAAATTCATCGTGCATCTGTTGTATCAACGTATTCTCAAGGATTTAATTTACAAACAAATCCATCAGGTTCGCAATCTTCACAACTCAATTCAAATATGAACGACGAACGAAATTCGGATGAATTACAATACACGTCATTACACCTACTAACACCAAGTACAACATTTGATCAAACTTGTGTTTTAAAATTAGAAATTGAACGATTAACAAAAGAATTAGAACTTATGAAATTACAACAATCTCAACAACAAATACATACGTTTCGTACATCTCAGTCCGACCCGTCATGTTCATTTGCTCAACAACCGTCAATGACAGCAACAACACAAAAACCATATTCCAATTTAACTACGATACCTATTCATGTTATTGTTAATACAGATCCACTTCAACAGATGAAAGATTTTGTAAAGTCTTTCAATGGCAATCCAACTGATGATGTTACCAAATGGCTTGATAGTATTATTCATTATTTTGACATCGCACAAATATCAGGTGATAAAGAAACCTTATATTTCCAATATGCTCCCGCATTTTTGAAAGAATATGCATATAAATGGTGGACAGATCAGAAACATTTTATATTTAGTTGGTCAACATTCAAACAAGCATTGATGACAAAATTTGCTGAAAAGAATGAATATTTAATTGAACAACAATTCGATCAACGAAAACAACAATTAAATGAACCCGTCATCAAGTATTATTATGATATCATCGATTTATGTAAGAAATATGATCCACATATGTCAGACAAACAAAAAATTCGTAAATTAACTAACGGATTAAAATTATCATTATATCAAGAAGCTATCAAAGAAAGTTACTCAACGCCATACGAATTTTTGACAAAAGTACAACAATTGGAAAATATTCAGAAGTTAATTGAATTAAGACAAGATCAAACAGCTCAAGTATCAAACATAATGAACCATAACGACAACTTATCATCACCGCATCATCGATCAAATAATTATACGACAAAATCGATGTATTATCCTTCATCTGTTCAACATGATTATTTATATGGACAATTTGAATCTAATCAGAACAAACAATATCCAACATCACACTCATGTCAATCGCAACAAATGTACAATCAACCACATGCATCTACTTATCAGAAAAATTATTCTTCAGAAAAATCGGAAATTTACTGTTATAATTGTGGCCAACCTGGACATATTGCTCGTTATTGCCAACAACATACTGCAAGTTCATCAACTGGTCAACAACAACAAAAATATCAAAAAAACCAATAGCAGAGGTGCCAGATGGTGGCCCCTCTGAAACGATTATAAATCCATCGCCACTCTCATTTATCACAGTCCCGGTTAATGGTATTCAATTACAATGTCTTTTAGATACAGGAGCTAGCAATACTTTTATTCATACATCAACATTATCCAAAATTCGACATAATAAAATCAATCGAATTAAAGGTAAGTATACATTGGCCGATGGGAATACGACAGTAGATATAGTTGGAGAAGTTGAAATTTATATTCAAATAGGAAATATTGAAACTAGAATTACTGCACTGATATCAAAATCGTTATCAACATTATGTATATTAGGTCAAGATTGGATAAGAAAATATGCAGTCGACATTTGTCAATCAACTAAATTAATTGTTATACACACATTAAGATCATCAGCTACTATACGGATGGACAATAATATGGACAAACATAATTTTGATCTAAAGTTAATTAATACCGTTATATTACAACCACAACATGAAACTATTGTTCGACTTAAATCACCTATTTCATCTTCTGGAAACGTTGTCTTTCATCCTAATCGTAACCTTCAATATACAAAACTTATTGCTATTCCCAATGCCTTATTATCTATCAACAATTATGAAACATACGTTACAATTGCTAATCCGACAAATAAAATTTGTCGAATACCCATTCATACTAATATTGGTCATTTTACCATACAACCTTCCGATATTCGTTGTTATACTATTAATTCATGTTTAGATACTGATCATTCGTCTTTAAATGAGCAACAACAACTGGAAATTAATAAACATGATTCAACAGAACTGATATTCGATCGATTACTAGATCATATTCAAAATAAAAATGAAAAACTCGAAATTTATCAATTGCTAATTAAATATAAAAAAATTTTTGATACATCGACACCTTCGATTGCTAAAATTTCTGTTCCACCAATGATTAATACTGCATCGAATCTTCCAATTCATTCACGTGTTTATCGTACTGATCCACTTAAACAACAACACATTTCGACAATCATTAATGACATGTTAAAATCGGGACAAATTCAAAAATCTTATTCTAGTTGGTCATCGCCGGTCATATTAGTTAAAAAAAAGGATGGTACTTATAGATTCGTTATCGATTATCGTCAGCTAAACAATATCACAGAACGAGATAGTTATCCTTTACCGCGGATCGAAGAGACATTAAACAGATTGAATGGCAACAATTTTTTCCCGAAACTTGATTTAAAAACAGGTTATCATCAAATTCCAATTCATTCATCAGACAAAGAGAAAACAACATTTGTCACATACAACGGTACATATCAATTTAATGTAATGCCACAAGGCCTCAAAAATGCTCCATCCAGTTTTCAGCGGTTAATGTATGACTTATTGGTAAGTACAAGATGGGATTTTTGTTTAGTATATATTGATGATGTAATCATTTTTTCACAATCATTTGATCAACATGTTGTTCATTTAAATGAAATATTTTCGATTTTATACAACGCTAATTTACAACTTAATCCACAAAAATGTTCACTTATTAAATCGGAGATCAACTATCTTGGTCACACAATCAATCAACAAGGTATTCGACCACTTCAAGATAATGTAGATGCAATTCTTAAACTACCAACACCATCAACACCTAAACAAGTTCATTCATTCGTACAGGCTGCAAACTATTATCGTGATCATATTGAAAATTTCTCTAAGATTGCTGCACCGTTATATCCTTATACAAAAAAGAATGCTGTATGGAAAGGTTGGACATCGCAAATGGAAAACGCATACAATGATCTTAAACGACGACTGACAACATCTCCAGTATTTCTAAATTTTCCCGATGACACCTCACCGCTGGTATTATCAACAGATGCATCAGGTTATGGTATGGGTGGTGTGTTGCGACAAATGACATTGGATGGATCAAAAGTGATAAAATATGCTTCTAAGAAATTCAATTCAGCACAACAAAAATATTCTACAACTGAACGAGAATGTTTGGCGTTAGTATGGTGTATTCAGAAATTGAAGGAGTACATTTGGGGACGCCCAATTCAAATAGAAACTGATCATTGTCCTTTATGCAGTTTCAATAAAAAGAAGTTTCAAAACTCGAGAATCGAACGTTGGCAATTAGAATTATCTGAATATGATATAACTAAAATTACGTATAAACGTGGAAAATGTAATTGTGATGCAGATTTAGTATCTCGTTTTCCATATGATGAAGACGATATTGATGATACTGATCATCCATTACGTATTCGACATTATACACAACCAGTTGTTTATTACATTACTACTATGCAAATCAACGCCATCACTAGATCAAAAGCTAAACAATTATCAACAAAACACTCCGTACCTTCTTCATCTTCATCATCGAATATTATAACAAGATCGAAAGCAAAAACAAATCATCACTCGCCTGTTTCTGAACCAACATCTGCTTCATCTTCATTAACACCAACATCAATAGTCTTGCCTTCATCGTCAATAATTGATTTTAGTATGGATCGGATTCGAAACGAACAGATGACTGATATGGATATCCAATCAAGAATAAAAAATATCAATAATAATCCGCAACAATATTTGAATGATATTGTGGATGAACAAATATTATACAAATTAGTTACACGAAATGCTCATACAAAGATCCAATTACCATGGATATCGAAATCAATGATTCCGGATATTTTATTGGCATACCATGATCATCCATTTAGCGGACATTTTGGTGTAAATCGCACGTATAATAAGATTAAAGATAAATTTTATTGGTTTAATATGTTGAATACAATCAAACAATATATTCGTTCTTGTACACAATGTGTTCAATTTAATGTACGACGACAGAAAAAGCCTGGATTATTACAAAAGGAACCACCACCAGAAGGTGCGTTCGAAGTAATGCAAATGGACTTTTGGAAATCATCTATTCGATCGTCTGACGGTAATCAATATGTATTAATAATTACTGATCGATTAACTAAATATGTATTTGCCCGTGCGCTACCATCGGAGAATGCTAAAGACGCTGCGGAGATGTTGTTCGAGGATATTATATTGAAACATGGAGCGATTCGCTGTATACAATCTGATCAAGGTTCTCACTTTCATAATGAACTTTTATCAGCAATCACAAAATTAACTGGTTGTAAACAAACTTTTTCGATTCCTTGCCATCCAATGTCGAATGGTCAGGTGGAGAGATTCAATTCAACTTTTTGTGATCAACTTAAGAAATATCATCATGATAACATCAATGATTGGGATATTTATTTGCAATCGATCGTTTGGGCATACAATTCTGGTGTACATTCTGTGACGGGTTTTATTCCCTACGAATTAACATTCAATCGTCGACTAATATCACCGTTTGAATTTTCAATTTCGAAGTTTACAATGTTAAAGCCGAATGATTATTGGGTAAAAGCAAACAAATTCAAGAAATTGGCTCTTAGTGCTGCTCGATTTAACATCGAACAACAACAACAATTGAGTAAACTAAGATATGATAAAGGAAGAGCCAATCCAAATTATACATTAAATGACATGGTATGGGTTAAAGTATTAATTGGTCGTTCAAAATTGGATCCTCGATATCATGGTCCATTCCGTATTATCAAACGAATTAATGCAATCAAATATATTGTTGAACATGTACAAGATCATTATCAAAAAGAAGAACATGCCAATAATTTGATCCCATTCTACGAACGAGATTAACATTTGATCAATGCACCATCATCAATAGAATGTCAATTAAAACATTGAATAAAATATAATTGTGAAATTATATTTCATAAAAAAATGTATCACATTCACTTGGTCATATACTGAATATTCGTCTCAAACACCATCTTCTTCATTGTCTATTTTAACATCGTCTAGAAACAATTATATGATTTTATTTCTGAAGAGTGATGATAATCAACCAATTAAATTTGTTCAATGTGTCATTATATCACTGTTCATCAATATGTACAAGTGGCAGTTTATTGAACAATATATACATCAAAATTTATACTAGGATAATGAATGGAGAACAAATATTATGCTACGTCTGTTCGATACACAAAACAATATGCAGCTACCGAAATGTTCAAATTTTCGGAAATATCAATCGCAATTGTTTTGTTTTTCTTTTCATTTTGTTACTACACGTTAATTACTTAGTTTGTTTCTATGATTGTTATTTTTTTCTGCTTCTTCATTTTGTTTTGTTGTTGTTGCTTTTTTCTCTCTCTCTTTTACATTTTTTTTCGCACTTTCAGTCGATGAGTCGATGGGGCACTCATCTGTCGTGGGGAAGGAGGTGTTAGGATAGGAGATAAATGTATTGGATGATCTTCTTTCTTTCTTTTTTTCTTTGGTTCGTTCTTCTGCTTTTTATGAGTCATGATCTTTTTTTCCTTTGTTCGTTTTTTTCGTTTGGCTGGTGAGAGAAAAATAAAAAGCAAGAAAAGGGAAGTTGAGCGTGGCTACGAGAAATCTAACTCTGTTGACAAAGCACTGACTTCAGGTGCAATCAAAAGATCAGCGCCAGGTGAAGTATCCCGTTCATTTCAACTACAGATGAACGATTTTCCGTTGTTAAATCAAGGTCAAGTAATTAGTCGTCCAGCATGGACCACATCTGACAATGGATCTTTACACTCTAACCTAAAACAGGAGATGAGTGATCTTGTTGTAACTATCAAAGCTCTATCAGAGACTATGATTCGGACGGAGAAATCTTTTAACGATTTGAATAACCGTATCGAAGTTCAACATAAAAGCACCATACTCCATTGCAATAGTATATGTGCTATTATCGATACGGTACAAATTATGTCCAGTTGGGTGCGGGGTAATAGTAATGAAAGATCCAAATTAAAGAAAAACATTAACAAGTCAATTGAAAATCTTCAAAAATGGAAAAAGCAATTGGATTCGAACAGAAGGAATGAATCCACTGCTTCCATATCTTCTCCCCACCAAATTACAACTAATAACACCATCGATAACAAGAGTAACGGGGAAGTAGAAATAAATGACGATTTTTCAATGAACTCTCTAGGTCAAGATGTTTGACTTCTCTTCTCTTCTTAATGTTCATGCTCATCCCTTTTTCCCTTCTTCTACCTACAACCTTTCCCCATTGACAAAACCATCTTTCGAAACAGCATTAGATAGACTAGTAAATTGGAAGTTTCCTATAAAAGTTAAAAAACGAATTATACCTATTTTAGAAGAATGGTACTCTAACTCTACTCTAGACAGTATTCTAACAAAATGGGAGAACAACCCATGCCCTTTACCTAGCCAATTTATTCCTTTAAATGTTCTCACATATAATGTTCAAGGATGGGGTACTCGTGCCTTGGAAGTAATGGATCTAATTTTTAAAGTTGATAGTACAGTATGCGTATTTACCGAAGTAGGGGAACTTTGGAACAGTTTCAAAGTTCCACATTTTACATCGTTCTATCAAAAAGGTACAAATCATAGCGGAGGGGTTATGATAACGATAGGAAAACATCTTCGAGCAACGAGAATTGATACTGATATAGAAAATACAGTAATTGTGGATATCCATGGTCTTTCTGAAC